GAGGATTTGAGGATCCTCAGCCTCCAGTCCCATGGCAGAAGGGGTGCCTGGCTCTCTCCTAAGGGGACACGAAAGGGGATACGGATCTGCTGCTTCCCTGCAGAGCTGCAGGTGTGGGGTACCCCGGGGTAAAATCCTCCTCTTTCCAAAAAGCAGTACAGGGAGCAGAAGTCACCCTGCTCTTCTGACCCTGCTCGATGCCCAGAGCAGACATCTTGACAAGAAGACCTCATCCAGTGCCAGCCTTCCCCATCAATCCCTCCATCATCAACCCCATCAATCCCTCCATCATCAACCCCACCAATCCCATCCATCTCCCCATCACACTGCAGATCCCACGGCCGGTGGCAGCCGAGGGAGCTGGGCAGACACAGCTTGGAGCAGGAGATGTGAGCGGGGACGGGGTCCTTCTCCCTGCAGGCAAAACGCTGCCCGCTCAAGGGGCAGCCTGCATAGGCAGGACGACCCCAGCATGTCGCGACATGAAGCGAAGGAAACAGGAGCAGCAGGGAAGGTTTCAGGGCGCTCCCTGTCCCGTGGGAAGCAAGGACCCACCTTCACCTACCGTGATGGGCTGGGGTGAAGGTGGAGACCTGGAGGGCCCCCATCAACGTGAAATCCCCCTGGGAAAAAAAACCCTATTAACACATCCCACGGCGTGGAGAAATCCTCGGTAATTTGGGATGAAGTAGGGAAGAGAGTTTCCATGTTTTCTTCATCATCAGTGAGTTTTCAGTGGGATCCATCCCCCCCATCGGATCCAGTAAGCATGAGAGCTGAGGCCAAATTCAGCAATACCCCTCCAGCCCCAAACACACACATACATCTCAAATACAGCCCTTTCAGGAAACAGATCGGCTTAAAAAAAAATAAACAACACACAAGTGTGACATGAAAACAAGCAGAAACCCCAACGCCACATATCCAGAGGTTCATTTTATTTGCTATGAGACCTCCAAGCCCTTGGGACTCCCTGCAAGCAAGGCTGCCTTATTATCATTCGATTCAAAATAAAAATGATGCAGCCCTGTCTCTTTGGCAACACTGGGAGTCCCCTGAGATTTTAAGTCATGAGCAGATGAAGACCCCGTGTCCGTGTCCACGCAGGAAGCACTCACTCACCAATATGATGGAGAATGGACAGAACGGCTTGTGTTAGCTCTCCAGCCTGCCAAATCCACGTCTCGGCCGGCATCTGGCAGCACCGAAAGCCCTCGGGAAGAACCAGCCCTGGTACCCTGCCTGGGGCGAGCCCGGCTCCTGCCTCCTCTGTGGGGAAGGTCTAGGGTGGGCGAGGGCGAGCGGAGGATGCTGCGCTGAAGAAAAGAGTCCTCGAAGGTGCTGGCATTGGGATGACACCCTGGCACAGCACCCCGGTACAGCACCCCGGCACAGCAGGACTGGCTGCACCCCAGTGCCAAAGCCATGGACCCGAAGCAGGCCACCCAGTGCCAGGGTCTGAGTCCTGGGAGAACCATCAGTGAAGGAGCAGCCTACCCATGTACAGCCCCAGCATGGTGAAAAATCCCTGAATCTCTCAAACGAAAGGACATCTTCAGAAAGTTGAGCCCTGTCCTGGTCAGCACCGATGGCTGACATTTGCTCTGGCATTTGCTGCCACCGAACTCAAGCCTCGGGGACCCAACGCTCGCCCTCCGGCTGCGGGGGATGACGGCCCTTTGCAGACGGGACCGGGGATGGGGTGCACAGGAGCCGGCGGCGTTTCCAGGTGGGGAGCCTGCTTTGGGAAAGGAATGAGGAATATCCAGCCCAGCTGTCCTCCTGAGCCTGCAGGGACGTGTCCGTCTGTCCTGCTCACCCCCTCCTCTCCCAGTAATTTGTCAACCCCGTTCATACAACTGCGGCGGAGGGGCACAGGACTCAAAAATACGTTGATCCCGTCTCTTGCAGAGACGGAGCAGAGGACAGACACTTTCTCTGCACACAAGAAAGGCTGCCAGGTTAACACAACCCTTATTAGACATCAGAGAACCCACCCAGCCATCCCAAACCCACGGGAAAGCCAAGCTGCCACGCTCCTGCTGCCTGAGAGCTGCAGAGCCGCTCGGTCAGCATCTCAAGCCATACCTCGCCCCTCCCTTCACTCCAAAGAAGCTCCTACACCAAAACCCTCTTGCTTTCTCCCCCTAAAAAATCCCATAGTGATGGTGTCTCTGGCTGGTGCCTCACCAGAGAGCTGGGATGGGAGCGCAGCCCAGCAAAGCATCCGCAGGGAATGGGCTTGTCCCCTGGCCGCCGACCCTCCAGCCCCGGGACAGGGGAGGGGAGGAGACAGGAGCGGGGGCTCTCCGCACACAGCAGGGGCAAAGCTCAACACGGACCCGTATTTTTGTCCAAATGTCTCTTTTCTTTTCGTTTCAACCATTAAACATTCTCAGTCTCTTATTTAAAACCACCCAAGCCTTGGACCAAGCAACGGTCAGGCACTTCTCTGCCTGATCACGGGCAAACAACAGCTCAAGTATCAACAAACCTCAGTCCCGGTTTGGAAAAAATGCGTGGCGATACCCTGAACGTTAACAGAAACGGGTGTGTTTGCAGTCTCCATGGCTTACACCTTTTCTTGTGGTCTTTTTTTTAAAAAAAATATTGTCTCCCAAAGCCTCTGGCCCACCTGGCCATGGCAGACCCGCCGGGGCTGACCGCTGCCCCATCCCAGCTGCATCCCTGCTGCCCCGGGGCACCGCTCCAGCATCCCATGGCTCCAGCCACCCGTGGGCAACCCCGGCC